ATTAATACAGCCTATGGCTGTCCTTTAACTACCTACCATTTCACCCATTGTCACATCCTGATAATGAAATTGCCCAGAAATTTGGGAGGGAGGAGGGAGGAGGGAGGAGGGAAGAGATGGCAGCAGCAAAGAAAAACAATAGAAATATAATATAAAATGCATGAAATTTGACCCAAAGAAAAAGCAAATGGAATCGAAAGTCCTTGGAATGTTTGCAAGTCCTTTTAGTGTTTTTGGGTGTAGAGAGAGACCAGGAGAGTATTTGCAACAATTTAGAAAGTTTAACAAACTATGCGGGATTGATGAAAAATAAATTGAAACCCAAATACTCATCTTCTAAACTCTAAAAAAATTGAAATCAAACGAACAAAAAATCCATAAATCGAGTCATACTTTAGTTGGATGATTTAAAACTTCAAAATCACCATCCATCAATAAAAAAAAGGGTAAATTACATAGTAGCCCCTCAGGTTTGAGCTTTATTGCAATCTCATACAACATCTTTAAAACATTTCACTTTCATACCTCAAGTACTATTTTATTTCAATTTCATACAACCGTTAGATTTTTCATCCATGGATCTGTTAAATGCTGACGTGGCTGCCACATATATGACACATGGCTGCCAAATGTCTGCCACGTGGAAAATAAAAATACTTTTTTAATTTTTTTTAAAAAAACCTGAAATTGGAAGAAAAAAAAAAGGTCTGAACCCAGAAGAAGAAGAAAGAGAAAGAGAAGAAGAAGAAGAAAGAGGAGGGAGGAGAAAGAAGAAGAAGAAGAAGAAGAAAAAAAGAAAAAAGAAAGGGGTCCGAACCCAGAAGAAGGAGGAAGAAGAAGAAAGAGGAGGAGGAGGAGGAGGAAGAAGAAGAAGAAGAAGAAGAAGAGGAAGAAGAAAAAAAAAAAAGGGACCGAACCCAGAAAAAGGAGGAAGAAGAAGAAGAGAAGAAGAAAGAGGAGGAGGAGGGAGAAGAAGAAGAAGAAGAAGAAAAAAAAAAAAAGAAGGTCCGAACCCAGAAGAAGAAGAAAGAGAAAAAAAAAAAAGGACCGAACCCAGAAGAAGAAGGAGGAAGAAGAAGAAGAGAAGAAGAAAGAGGAGGAGGAGGGAGAAGAAGAAGAAGAAGAAGAAAAAAAAAAAAAGAAGGTCCGAACCCAGAAGAAGAAGAAAGAGAAAGAGAAGAAGAAAGAGAAAGAGAAGAAGAAGAAAGAGAAAAAAAAAAAAAAAAGGGACTGAACCCAGAAGAAGGAGGAAGAAGAAGAAGAGAAGAAGAAAAAGGAGGAGGGAGAAGAAGAAGAAAAAAAAAAAAAAAGGTCCGAACCCAGAAGAAGAAGAAAGAGAGAGAAGAAGAAGAAGAAAGAGGAAAAAAAATGGCAAATATGTTTTTTTTTTTTTTTAAATTATTTTATTTGCCACGTGGCAGACATTTGGCAGCCACGTGTCATATATATGGCAGCCACGTCAGCATTTAACAGATCAATGGATGGAAAATCTAACGGCTGTATGAAATTGAAATAAAATAGTACTTGAGGTATGAAAGTGAAATGTTTTAAAGATGTTGTATGAGATTGCAATAAAGCTCAAACCTGAGGGGCTACTATGTAATTTACCCTAAAAAAAATGTTTTTTTTTCTTTTCTATAATAGCTATTAAGGTTTTAGCCTGAATGAAACTAGGATAAACAAGAAATGATGGTATGGTCTAATTATAATTTGGGTTTATTCATAAATTTGAGTTTTATTATTAATTTCATTTATACTTAATAGTAATTGTGTAATAGGGTAAAAAAGATAATTAACATTTAAAATTTAAGTTGAGTGTAAAAAGATGTTACATGTGTTTAAATAAAATTTTCCATATGAAAATTGAGAGAGCAATGGAGGAATATGGATGTTAGTGTGGGCGTGATTAATGGGGGGGGGGCGGATTCTCAAATTAGATCACATTGTGATTTTTTGAATTCACCAATCACTTTTCGAGCGGGAAATCAGGTTGTGGGAAGAAGGGCTTTGGATGTGGGGAGCGTGGCCCACTCTTGCTTTTGGGTGGACATTTCCCTATTCCTGACGAGCCCTCACTTGAAATTGGGCCCATGACTATGTTGGGGTTCGATTCTTTTGGTCTAAATCCTTTTATTATGGGTCTGCCTCTGTGCCCTCGCAATGGGTGTCCTAAAAAATGAATCTGCGACACGTGTTGCATTGTGATTGGCTTCTGATGTCGACACGTATTGCACTGTGATTGGCCTCCTGGTTGGAGGGAAATTCTTATGGGTCATTGACTGTATAATGTTAACCAGTGTTCAGTAGTTTCGGGATTGGTCAAGTATGGTACAAACAGTGCTCCCCTAAGTTCCTGAGTGAAGGAAGCTCATCGGTTGGGGACTTGCAAGATCCAAGCCGTTGAGTAATCATGAAACTTCTAAGTACCGAAGTGTGTTATCGTCTTCACTTGCCTTATCTGTCTCATAGGTAGATGTGGCATCTTCTCTGGAAGTACTCTTCCTCCATCCAAATGTGGTATCTTTAACCGGTGGAGATGCATAAGGTAATGTATCAATTTCACTTGAAGCTTACTTGTAGTTTTAGGCTTAGTCAAGCATGATACAAACCATGCAGTAGGAGTCCCCCAAGTCGCCGAGCTAGGAGATCTGCCGAAAAATGTGACAGACAAGGTAAGCAATCAGAGCTCCAAGCAATCAGTCCCAGATCAGAAGTTTGATTTCGAGTTCCGGCTGATTGTTCTCATTCTCCCTATCTTGTAGGCAGCATGAAGGATACAAAGAAGAAAAATGAGAAGAGATGATATGAGATATTTTTGCTACTTTTGCTTTTGAAGAAGTAACTTACCACATGTTTATTCTTGAACTGGGCTGGAGGGTATTCTGGTTTCTTCCAGAGTATAAGGCTGACTCAAGAATTTAAGGGTCAAAACAAGTCCATCAAATCTAGAGTACGTTCGACCCTGATGATATGAGATCAATCAATCTTATCTGTTCATCATACATTTTGCAGTTAAAAAGTATTTTAAATTTTTTATTTAAAATTAAACATAAATAATATCTAAATAAAACTCTAAATAAAACTGGCCCCTAAATAAAAGTGCCACTACCATTCACTTGACTTGTGACTAGTCAGCTAGCTTGAATAAAAGGTATGAACTGATGATGTTGTTCCCTCAACATGTCTTTCTTCATGTGTGAACCCGTTGAATTTTTGTTTGCGGAAGGTAAAGGTGCTTGAGTTGGGGCATTTTCCTTTCTTCTCTTTGATGATTTTCTAAGAAAGTCTGAGCACCATAAATTTTTTTATAACTTAATCAATCTCATTCATCTCAAATATCCCGTTCTCTTTCTTTTGATATATTATCAACCGCTCGCTTCTTTCTCTTCTTTTTTATTCGCAAGTTATCTATTGTTAGTTCTTTAAGAGAAACACAAACAGGAGTGTATCATGACTATCTTGAAGAAATGATATTATCTATATTAAAGGATTAAAGGATTAAAGGATGAAAAAGTGGGTTAAGTTTCATAATGGGCATAAAAATCGTAGAACCGCGAAACCGAATCGAACTACGACAAAATAAAGTTGCATGGTTCATCTATTGAGATAAGGCACATATTGAGAATTTCTCAATTAGCTTAAATATGTCTCACAATGGGAGCATTTCTCAATTAGGTCTTTCACTTGCATGGTTCATCTATTGAGATAAGGCACATATTGAGAAAGAAAAAAAGGCACATATTGAGAAATTCTCAATAGCTTAAATATGTCTCACAATGGGAGCATTTCTCAATTAGGTCTTTCACTTGCATGGTTCATCTATTAAGATAAGGCACATATTGAGGAAGAAAAAAAAAAGTTCATTTTCTATCCTAGGTCTCCAAATTTGACATTCAGATTTCAATTTCATATTTTTCTTGAATAGAATGATCTTAAGGTGAGTTGCATCCTGTTTTTTTTTTCTTTCCCTTTTTCCTGGGCATTTTCAATTAATTTGGCAAAATGTTGTTTTGCCTTAACAATTATTTTTTCTCTCATTTAATCACTATAAAAAAAAATAGTAGTTTTTTATTTTTAGCAAACGATATTATCTACACTAAGAGGGTTGAGGTGGGTTAAGCCTCATAATGGGCTAGCAATAATATGATTCAAATTCGCCTTCGGCGAGAATCGAATCTAAGACCTCTCACTTACAAGTGAAAGAGGAATACCACTAGACCGTGGTACTAAATGGCGTAATATTCTTCTCTACTTGTAGGTGCTTAAGTGCGTAATTTTATGACCGACTTTGAAAGATAGTGAATTTGATACTAATTTATTGTAGCCGATTGAGTGATTTGCTCAAATTTCCTCACCATAATGCAGTTGTCTTAAAAAACCCAATAATTTACATTGCTTCAGTCCACAAAATTGTGAAGAATTCTTTTATTTTTTATTTTTAAAGAATTTATTATTATTAAGAGGAGGGAGAAGGATTCAAAATTATTCCAATAATTTAAGAAATGGGGGATTCAAACCCAGGATGCATGGGTTAAACCATCACCTTCTTCAAACACTGCATGAATGATACACAAAATACAGAGTGCTTATTATCGAAATAATATATATATATATATATATTATAAATTACTCTGTAAATCTTATTTCTAAAAACAAAAAGTAAGCTATGAATTCTATTGCTGGCTACTGGCCCATTTTGGTGATTATTGAATTTGTAGAGATACTAAGGCTGTACGTATCGATTATGAGAAGAAAAAAAAACAAACAAACAAAGTCGTGTGTATGATGTATGGAAAATAATTTCGTGGTTTGTTGCAAGTTTTGGTGATTGATTGTTGCGTCCTGGCACCTTGTCATTAGTGTTGGTGATTGTTTGTTGCAAGTTGGAGCATGAAGCTGCTATATAATTTCTCAATACAAATTGAATGATATGATGCCCATCCATGTTACATCAACCCATCGTGGCATCCTGGACTAATAGCGCACCAAAGTCACCCAAATGCTACGGTAGTCCTTGTTGAGATCAGATTACATTGGATGCTCTGCTGATGAAAAGATGAAATCAAGCAACAAAGTTTGTACATAAAGCACGTAAGGCCGGGAAGGGGGGGCCTATTGGCTTACCGTGTGTTTGCCACTATCATGCACTGTGACTTGTGAGTAGTCAGCTAGCTTTACAAAAAGGTATGAACTGATGATGATGTTCCCTTACTATGTCTTTATTCATGCGTGAACACGTTGAAGCTTTGTACGCGGAAGGTAAAGGTGCTTTAGTTGGGGTTCTTCTTTTTCCTCTCTTCGATGATTTTCTGGGAAAGCCTGAGCACCATAAAATTTTCAATAACTTAATAAATCTCATTCATCTCAAATATCCCCTTCTCTTTCTTCGATATATTATCAAGCGCTCGCAGCTTTCACTTCTTTTTTACTCGCAAGTTACAAGTCTATTGTTAGTTCCTTGAGAGAAACACAAACAGATGGAGTGCATCATGACTATCTTGCAGATTTGCTGCAGATCGTTAACATTTTCTTCTCCTTCATCTGCTGCACCTGCTGCTGCTGGTGACGATGATCATGATGGTATTGAATCGTTAACTTTTTCTCCGTCATCTGCTGCGGCTGCTGGTGGTGGTGGTGATGATCATGATGGTATTGAAGCTAATATCCCCCCTCGTCGGGAAAATTATGATGTGTTTATCAATTTCCGAGGTGAGGACACCCGCCTTGGTATTACCAGCCATCTTCATGCTGCCTTACTTCAGAAAAAAATTGAAACCTACATAGATTACAGACTTCAGAAGGGAGAAGAAATCGGACCTGCCCTTCTAGAGGCAATCGAGAAATCCACGCTTTCGGTGATCATTTTCTCACAAAACTATGCTTCTTCCACATGGTGTTTGGATGAGCTTGTGCATATACTCGAATGCAAGGTAAGATATGGCCAGATGGCTATACCTGTATTCTACGACATCAATCCATCTGATGTACGAAAACAACACGGGAGTTATGCGGTTGCATTTGCTCAACTTGAAAACCGTTTCAAGGACAATATTGATAAGGTGCGCAAGTGGAGGGATGCTTTGACGACTGCAGGCAATCTATCTGGGTTTGATTATTCAAACAAACCCGGGTAAGTAACTCATTCCTTAACTAGTATAGAATTATAAATTTTCTTTGATTTGTGCTAAGATTTGGTAAAGCGTTACTCTATTTTAAACTTGGGGAGGGGTGCCACTGTAGCTTTGCTACAATGCAATTGGGGGAGATTTTGGCTTTAACAAGACTTCATGTCTGCCCGTTGCTGCGGGTCGAAAAATTTGTCATGTAATTAAAATCAAATCATAAAGAAGAGTGAAATTTTTCTTGTAATTTAGAGAACAACATCACATCAAAGTAATATGTAATGTAAATAATGGAACAAAATAGAACATTTTAATAGACGGTGCAATCACAAAATATAATGTCTTTGCATAAGAAACAGATGTAGAATGCAGTTCAATTAGCTTTTCGAACTTATTACAACAACTCTATTTACACATATTTACAACAACTCTATCTGCACATATATGTACAATCATATTTACTATTATTTTTACACATATACTAATCAGCTTTTTCGAACTTGATCAACATAGAGAATTTTTTTTTTGACCTCATATGTATGCTTCCATGTTACAAATTAAAAAATAGAAGTTGTTAATGTAAATCAAAGATATTTTAGCTAAGATGATGGAACAAAAGTGTAATTATTGAAGAGAGACTCTTAATTGCTAAAAACAATTGAATACTCAAGTGCATTTAATATATAATATACTTTAAAAGCAAATATATGTTGATGTACGAATTTAAGTGTACCGGGAGGAGAAAAATAAAATTTCTTTTGCTCATGAATAATTAAAATTGACATATGCTAAAGCGTACATATGAAAAGAAGGTGGACTTTTGGAATTGTTCATATCACATTTTCTATTAAGCTAACCACAATAAACTTTTCTATCACAATTATCTGCATCCAAGTATGAATAAAAGTTAACTAATGTGATTATTTTCATCCTATTGTAAATGGAAATATAAACTTTTATTTTTTGCTGAATTGTAAACTGGGAGAAAAATATGCATAAATGTTGAAAAAGATTTATAAGATCTTAAAAAAATCTAGAAAATGAGTAGCAATTACCCTTCCAACTCAACTTGTAAACGGAAAGGAGGAAAAAGTAAACCAATGACTGGGTTTTCATTTTTTGTGTCACTGCTCTTATCATATTTGAAGCAAGCAACCATAAAACATATAATAATTCCAATTTCGATCCACCCATCACAATCCACTGACCTGAAACTAATTACAACTCTGGAGTATGTACTTCCTAAAGAATATGAACTAATATATATATATATATATATATATATATATATATATATATTATCACGCCTCGATCTCGACATACGTTCAGGATCGACACATGACATAGAGACATAACGGACATCTTAACATACATACAAGGTACAAAATGAAATACTAGAACTAATACCTCAAAATAAACATGCTATTGGACTCTCCCCCACAAAATATATACAAATCTATACACTCAAAATGCACAACCCTCATTAGGGCCAAGACATGACCATAGGCACTCAAAATTTAAGTTCCAAAAGAAATAATACACAGAAAGATAAAAGGGGCAACCTAATCACTTCAAATCTCTGATCTTTGCACTGCTACCCCCACCGACTCCTTGTAAACCTACTCAGGCTTGTCATTTGTACAATTAGTGCATGGAGTTTGCGCTAACACACCATAGCAAGTCCGAAAAGATGTCTTCGCTATGTCTTCATCTCGGATCCTCAATTGATGATAATCAATCCGCAAATCTAGCTTACTAAAATACTGAGCACCTTGAAGTTAGTTAAACAAGTCATTAATCCTCGGTTGAGGGTACTTATTTCGCACTGTCACTCAAAATCCTTATTAAGCTCATGATAATCGATGCGCAAACACATGATATGTCTTTTTTCTTCACAAAGAGAATGGGAGCACCCCAAGGTGAAACACTGGGTCGAATTAAACCTTTATCCAATAATTTATGTAATTGCGCTTTGAGCTTTCTAAGTTCCAAAGGCGCCATATGATACAGAGCCTTAGAAATAGGTGTTGTCTCTGGCATAAGGTCAAGAGTGAACTCAATCTCCCTTACTGGAGGCAAGCCATGTAACTCTGTAGGAAATACGTTAGGGAATTCTCTAACTATTGGGATGGCATTAATCTCACTATTTCCTTACTCAACAATTATGACATGAGCCAAATAACCCTGACGTCCGTGTCTCATGAGTCATTTAGCCTTAGCAACTAATACCATTATTGGTGGTGGAACAGGTTTATGAACTCCAACAAACTGAAACTGAGGTATGTCAAGTTGTCGAAAGGTTACCACTTTCTAAAAACAATCGAAATTCGTGCGATATATAGATAGGTAAGCCATGCCTATAATGACATCTAGATCTTGCATCGGAATAATCATCAAATATGTTGTCATTTCACCTTGATCCACCTGAGCCTCACAAGATCAAACTACTTGGTCAACAATATAAGGCCTCGAAAAAAAAGAGGAAATAGAATATGTCACATCCATCGTCTCAATGGGTTTACCCAAAGACTAAACAAAACTACTTGATATAAAGGAATTCTCGGCTCCAGGATAAAAAAATTGCCTAGCAGGGAGCGAATCAAGATGAATAATACATGTGATTGTGTTAGGCTCAGCCTCGGCCTCCAAAGTGGATAGTGCACAAACCTTGCCAACTCGCTAAGAACCCACTTGAGACGTCCCAACTCCACTACTCTGAGCCCCAACTCGCTGAGAACCTCTTCCAAGCTGTCTGCCACTTTGTTGTCTGGTCATTTAATGCCCAATCCCCAGCTGGACCGAGCCTGAAAGTGCTCCAAAATGCATACTCTACGCGCGAAGGTGTTACTGAGCCTCGAACACTAGCAGCGGGTCTACCAGCTCCGTTAGCAGTAGTCTGTGGGCAATCTCGAAATAGTGACCGATCTCGCCATACTGGTACAAGTCTTAGAACCATCTCTACATGCGTCATAGTGTCGGCGTCCGCAGTGAATGCAAATCCATAGAAGTGCCTTATGTGGCTGGTCTCGGGATCCTCTTAAATAACTCTTTGAACACCTTTCAGAAGAAGTCTGGCTTTGCGTTATCAGTACCTCATCGAAAACGACTCTGAGGACTTGCGTCAGTAAAATGCTGAAAACTTCCTCTAGAAGTAGCCTGGAAATCTCCACAAGAAGTACTTTGATGTCCTCCATGTGACAATCCTTAAGAACCACCAGACAAGAATCTCTGGCAACTTCGAGATCCACCCGAAAACGCATCAGACTACTGGCCCTCTGACCGGGGCTTCTTCCTTTGCTCTTCACTCACTCGTGCCTCAATTCCTTCTTAAGCTTTGATGTGCGTGCACGATCGATCGCCTGAGAAAATGAAGGCAATCCCTAAACAGATAACAGATTCCTTATACTAGGCTTGAATCCCCTAATAAGTTTCTTTGTTTTCTTTTCCTTAGGGAGGTGTTGAGAGAAACAGTAAAGTCGAATAAAACGGGCCACATAATCAACAACTGTGTCGGTGCCCTGCTCAATAGTGGCAAAATCTGCCTCCAACTCATCCCGAAATGACTCTAGAAAATACTGCTCAAAGAATGCAGTTTGAAATCGCTCCCAAGTTAAGGGTCTTCCAGCTACCAAAAAAGGACGAGTGATTTGCCACCACTCATAAGCCTGTTTATTAACATACACACCGCAAATGTCTACCTGCTCCTCAGGTAAGCATCGCATAACGGTGAAAAATCTTGAGATCTAATTGGTCCAAGACTCAACCGCCCACGGATCAGTACTACCATCGAATAAAGGTGGCTTATGATTATGAAACTCTATATATAGAGACTTCTCCTTACTAGAAGTCACACATACGTGAGCTTGCATCAACTGTGTCAAGTTCTCAATGGCCTGAAAAACATCATTGGGTCTATCATAATCGTGGCTAGCCTCTTAATCAATAGCAGAAGTGCCCTCGTCGGGGACATCCTCCCCAAGCAACCAAACAACACCATGTGGGGTCGTCATAATATATATGGTGCATAGAAGAATTCAATGTAAGCATTTACAAGAAATTTGAGAAACGAATCCACATGACCTAATTAAGGTCCAGTACCCAACCTACTTAAGGTTTCCTCACTCTAAGGTTAAGGTATGGGAACCTAAACCTAAGCTTTGATACCACCAAAGGTTGTCACACCCGATCTCGACATATGTTCAGGATCGACACATGACACAGGTACGTAGGGGACAACTTAACATACGTAAAAGATACGAAATGAAATATTAGAACTAATACCTTAAAATAAACATAATAGTGGGCTCTCCCCCACAAAATATATACAAATATGTACTCTCAAAATACACAACCCTCACTAGTGCCAAGACATGCCCATAGACGCTCAAAATATAAATCACAAAAGAAATAATACAAGGAAGGATAAAGGGGAAACCTAATCCCTCCAAGTCTCTGATATTTGCACTTTTACCCCCACCGGTTCCTCGTAATACAAGGAAGGATAAAGAGGAAACCTAATCCCTCCAAGTCTCTGATCTTTGCACTTTTACCCCCACCGGTTCCTCGTAATCTATTCAAGTCTATCACATGTACAATTAGTGCCTAGAGTCCATGTTAGCACACCTTAGCACGAATATCAAGACGTCACGTACTATCGTCGCCTGGGCCGAGGTCCAATTTGGCCGAAAAGTGGCCTGAAATCACCCTAGACCATCAGAACTCAAAAATGAGTGTTCTTCGAACCCCGACACCCCAACCAGTGCTTGGGCCTTGTTTCTAGGTTCAAGGACAATCTATTGGTGGCGTTGGTCGAAGGAACAAGCTTCAGAAACAGTCGATCGTCGTCAAATACTCATGGACCAGTTAGTGAAATAATTCACGAAACAGAGGCCTAATCTCGTCGTGTTTGTGTGGAGATTGAAGGGAAAGTGGCGTGGTGATGTTTGGTGGTGGTGGAAGGTTGAGAAAAGCTAAAAAAATCGACAAAAATCATGTCAAAAATTGCAAAGGGTTCGGGTCAAGAGCCGATTCACGAAGGGGGAATGGGTCGTGTTGAGTTCTCTCCTCTCTTCTCTGATTGGTCACCTCACTATCACTCTCTCTCCCCTCCCTCGAATTAATGGGAGCTTTTAGTTATATATTAAACATTTTTTTTCCTTAATCGAACTTCTAACGTCCATAACTTCTTCGTTATCACTCCAATTCGTGAACGTCTTTCGCCCACGCGCTCATGGAATTGAGTTTGATTCGAAAACACTAATTGTGACCTCGAAAGGTCTACAAATTTTGAAAGATTAATTACTAAAATTCATACCTTGTAATTATTCAATTCAAACTCTAATATTGACGGAATTAGAATAAAATAAAAATAATATAAATACGAAATACGGAATTAAATAATTTAATACATAATTAATAATGAAATTTTGGGGACGGAATTTTACATGTACAATAAAGCAGCATGTTTGGTGAAATTTATGATCGTTTAATTGAACACCCAAAACATTCGATCTTATACAAATGAGTACTGTTGCAACCTAAACTAATGAAAAGGTGAACACAACCCACTCATCCCTCTCTATTTCTCTCTCTACAATCCCTACAGCTCTCTCTCTCTCTCTCTCTCTCCCACTTACTGAATCGCAAATCTCATAGGAACAGGTCATACTTGGCTCTGTTCACGCCTCCTCTCCTTCGGATTTGGATCCTCTCCTGAGCTAATGGAGAGGATCCTCCTGACCAGTTATCATGTGTCGTTAGATAACTATAATTATTATAATTTTAAAAGGATTCCCTGTTTGTAACCGTTGGATAAAAATTCAACGATCCATGATAACTGATCAGGAGAATCCTCTCCATTAGCGCAGGAGAGGATCCAGATCCCTCTCCTTCTCTCTCTGTAACACTTTCCTCACCAAACCTAAACACCTGTCCCTCCATCTCACCGACTGCAACCGCACCTCTCCCTAGTCTAAAATGATAATTGCCTACCCACCTTTTACCTCAGGCCGTTGGATCTAAAATCTGGATGGGCATTACGGTCATTTGCACATTGAATCAGGCCTTCCTCGTTAACCACCCAGAACAATGCCCACGTTAGGCCCAAACGCACCAATCACCCCCCTCCCCCCCCCCCCGCGAACAGGAATTTTTTTTTTAAAGGATGGAAATTCTGTAAATAAATCAAAATTCCCAATTGAAATTGCCCTATAGCTTAGATAGGAAACTTTAACGAAAAGCTTTCGGTACTGTTCATTTTAACGAAAAACCACATTTTTACACTAAAAAGTCAATATTGGTACTATTCACTTTACCTTTTATTTTGTCCTTATCGTTAAAACTTAAAGTTTTCAAACATTTTTCATTAGTTTTCCTTATATAATACAATGCCACCCCTCCCAACTTTAGACTAGGGTAATTACGAAATTGCCATTTTCTGGTGGGTTCGGGGAGGGATGGCCCTGTTCCTTGGCTATTCATGTAATTAGTTGTAGCTCATTTAAACGTATTTAATTTCTCTTTAGGGTTAACGATTTCATTAGTGGGACAAGTTCATTTTCTTCAAAAAGATAGTGGGTTGAATGCCATAATATGCAAGCTTACTTAGTTGTATTGTTGTTTGCCTGAAAACAAATGTATTTCTATTTTAATATTGCTTTAATTTTATTTTGAGGAGAGAATACATAAGATTTCTTTTCTTGCACAACTATACGATGTTAAAACTTTTAGCATATTTCTTTATTTACATGACAACTTTTTGACCGGTGTGTGTGTGTATATATATATATATATATATATATGCCAGGACGGAAGCAGATCTAATTAAGAATGTTGTCGATCATATTTGGAGAAACTTGAATTGTGAATCATCATGTGGTTTAGAGGGCCTGGTTGGAATTGAAAGTTGCATTCAGCAAATTGAATCGCGACTGGGCATTTACTCAAAGGACGCTTGCATCACTGTTGGTATTTGGGGCATGGGTGGTATTGGCAAGACCACCCTTGCTGAAACTATATTTCACAGACTCTCTTCTAAATTCGAAGCTTCTTGTTTCCTTAAAAATGTCAGGGAGAAATCAGAACGATCAGATGGACAAGATCGCTTGCAAAAGCAACTTCTAAGTGAGATATTCAAGGAAGAAGGTATATCCATAGAATCACCTGCTATTCGAAATAGGCTCAGCCTCACAAAGGTCTTCATTGTTCTTGATGATATGAGTAGTCCAATGCAAATGCAACGTTTAGCTGGTGATCGTCTTAGGTATGGCACTGGAAGTAGAATCATTATCACAAGTAGAGATAGGGACACACTTACACACACTGTTAAAGAGGATAATATCTATGAGGTTAAGGTATTAAAACCAGATTACGCTCTTCAGCTCTTCTGTTCGCATGCTTTCAAGAATAACACTACTCGTAGAACAGATTATGAGGAGTTGGCGAAAAAGATTGTGGATTATGCCGGAGGCGTTCCTTTAGCTCTTACAGTTCTGGGGTCCTTGTTCTTCAATTGCAAGAGTAAAGAAGACTGGGAAGATGAATTCAATAAATTGAAACGATTTCCTAGACCAGATATCCAGAAAGTGTTGAGAATAAGTTATAATAGATTGGAAGAAAATGAGAAGGACATATTTCTGGATATAGCATGTTTTCATAGAGGGAAGGAAGTGAATGAGGTAAAACGAATGTTAGATGTTCGTGGATTCTTTGCGACATCCGGAATTAGAATTCTCCGTGATAGGTCTCTCATATCAATTGATTCAAAAAGACAGGTAGGGAAAGTCATAGAGATGCACGATTTGCTACAAGAAATGGGAAGGACAATTATTCATGAACAATGTATTAAAGATCCCAGTAAACGGAATAGGTTGCTCACGAAAGAGGATATCTATCATGTACTGAAAAGTGACAAGGTAAGAGCCAAATGCATTCAATTTTTTCTTTTCTTTTGTAAGAAAAAAATAAATAGCACACTTTAGATGATAACACAATAAAAGTAACACTTATTTATAAAAAGAAAAATTCTTAAATTATTAGTTTTATTGAATTTTATTGCAAAAATGCTATTCTTAATATTTATTTATACTATTATTTGTACTGTCTCTCTAATAGAGATGAGACCCCATGCAATGACTGACCCTACCTCTATTAGAAAGATGGTACAAATAATAGTACAAATAAGTGATAAGCATAACACTACTATTTTTATTGTGCTAGGAAGTCTATGTAGTTTTTGTTATTTTATTATAATTATCTTGGATATTTTAGTAGAAACTTGTACATCATTACCATCGCAAATACTCTAGATTATTCTATAACTTTGTTGAATTCTTTTTCCATATAAGCATTACATCTTAACATGTTGAAAATAATTACATTTAAACTTTGTTCTTATTCTTTGTTCTTATTGTCAGGAAACTCCAAACGTTGAAGCCATATTTATTGAATGGAATAAGAGTGAAAAGCAACCACTGGAACGCGCAGACTTCAAATTGATGCCAAACCTAATAATGCTAAGTGTGGATAATTCTCAAATATTTGACCGCAAATCCACCGCTTCTATAGACCTTCCCGATTCTCTTCGTTACCTCTACTGGGGGGGATATCCACTGGAATCTTTACCGTCAAAATTTTCGCCGGAAAATCTAGTTGAGCTTCATGTGCCACAAGGCCGAGTTAAAAAGCTCTACAAAGAAGACCAGGTATATTATATGCCTATTCGAATTCTTGTATAAAATTTAAGTGTAGAAATTATATTTATTCTTGATATTTCTCTCTACTCTTGTTACAGAGACTTGTCAACTTACAAGTGATCGATCTCTCTTGGTGTGTACGTTTGGTTGAAATTCCTTGGTATTTTCAAGATCTTGACAAGCTTACTTATCTTGATCTTCATGGCTGCACAAGTCTTAAGTATCTTCCAGAGATGCCAAGAAATATTAAATACTTGGATTTATCTATGAGTAGTATAAAGGAATTGCCCCAATCAATTTGGTCAAACGAAAAAATTTCTTACTTGAATATAAATGATTGCGGAGACCTTGAGAAACTTCCAAGCAACATGTGTAAGCTGAAAATCTCTGGTTCTTTTAATCTAGATTGGTGCAAATCTCTTGCCAAGTTTTCTGAGCCTCCTAGGCATATAAGTAAATTATCATTGATTGGTTGCAAGAGACTTGTGAGTCTACCTACCAACATTTGTAAGTTGAAATATCTCGAGGAACTCGATCTCTCCGACTGCTTTAAACTTGAATACTTCCCAAAGATCTTGGAGCCGATGGAACATTTGAAGTCCTTAAATTTAAGTAGAACATGGGTTCAAGAGCTACACTCATCAATCGAGTTTCTCCCTGCTCTCGAAATACTAGAACTATGTGGTTGCAAAAGGCTTTCAAGTATCCCAAAGAGCATTTGTAAGTTGAAGTATCTCAAGAAACTCGATCTCTCTTGGTGCTCGAAACTTGAAAACTTCCCAGAGATCTTGGAGCCAATGGAACATTTGAAGTCTTTAAATCTAAGTCAAACGGCGGTTTCAAGCATCCCAAAGAGCATTTGTAAGTTGAAATATCTCGAGAAACTCAATCTCTCCAGCTGCTTTGAACTTGAAAACTTCCCAGAGATCTTGGAGCCAATGGAACATTTGAAGTCTTTAAATTTAAGTCAAACGGCGGTTCAAGAGCTACACTCATCAATCGAGTTTCTCCCTGCTCTCAAAATACTAGAACTAGATGATTGCAAAAGGCTTTCAAGTATCCCAAAGAGCATTTGTAAGTTGAAATATCTCGAGAAACTCAAGCTCTCTAGGTGCTCCAAACTTGAAAACTTCCCAGAGATCTTGGAGCCAATGGAACATTTGGAGTGTTTAAATTTATGTAAAACAGGGGTTCAAAAACCCTCACCAGGCGAGTTTCTCCCTGCGCTCCAATGGAAATCAGTGTTCTACGACTCCGACTCATCAGACCCTTGAATTTTGGTAAGTGGAACATCGGTTAAAAAGCCGTTTTTAAAACCACTGACAGATGTAAACAAGATCATAAAGAGTAGGGGAACTTATAGCTTCCGGAGAGTTATGTTCGTGGTCATACAATATAGGCGCATAACTGTAACCATGGACAGTGTTCATGCCTGCACAATCAGCTCGAAATGTCATATGCAACAACGACATGTTCTCTTTCAAGATAATGTGGCATGATGGATGGGTGGTCATTCTATCAATCAAGATTGCACATTCAGACATGACTCAATTTAATTGTATTTATGGACGTTTGTATGTCAATTGGCCAGCAAAAAATTACTCCCAATTACAAATAAAATTTTATTCTAGCTGCAGCCGGGCCATATAATGCTGCCTTCACCATTTCTGGCGTAAGTTCTCTTACTTTGCGCCAAAGTGACAATTCTAAGGGCATTGTCAAACTCTGCACGTGCCCAAATCTGCCAATAAATATAAGCAACCAATATAATCTAGAACAGATCCTCGTCCAAAACAAAAACTAGAACATATCCAAACTTCTGTGACAAAAAGAGACTGAGAACATTTGATTTGGAAATTCCTTCAGCAAAACAAATATACAGCTCCAATAACCTATTTGTCGATGTGGTCATGACCCAAGAACATTTCCCTTGTAATGTAATAAACAATTCTTGGGTCATATGACACATTTCTAAAGTCTGCATTATACTCCGATCGGGAGGGGCTAATTCAAACCCCTCGGGTAAAATAACAAACAGCCCCGACACGAAACAAAAATCTCAGCTTAGATCAGCGAATTACAACATCCCGAGCTCACATTAACCACTTCAACTACGGGGCGTGTATTCAATTAGGATTTTGAGGGATTTTAATTCTTTTAATGAATCTACGGGCATTCAATCAGGAATTCAAGTGATTCTCTAAAATTCAATGTGTATTCAATCAGGATTTTAAGATAGTTTATGAAAATCCTTAGAAATCCGGATGTATTCAATTAGAATTTTAAAGAAGTTTATAACATTCCAGGTGTATTCAATTAGAATTTGATTTTAAAGAATTTGAGAAAGTTGGGGAATTAGAGGGAATTGGAGAGATTTCGTAATGTATTTTGAGCATCCACAAATCTCACATCCCAAGAGATTTTGAGGGAATTGAATCAAAATTTTACATGGGGGGTGTATTCAATTGAGAATGTGAGAGATTTTAATGGATTTATAAATCCATGGATTTTTATGGAGTTTAATTGATTTGTAGAGATTCCATATAAAATTTTGATTCAATTCCCTCGAAATCTCATGGGAAGAGGTGAGATTTGTGGATACTTAAAATACACTACGAAATCTCTCCAATTCCCTCTAATTCCTTAACTTTCTCAAATTCTTTAAAATCAATTTCTAATTGAATA